ATCAAAAGCCGCGCCCCTCAAAGAGATATAACCCCCGAAAAGACCCCAGGATGTTGGCAGGTCCAACAACTGCGCTCCAATGAGGTTTTTTTAACGGAAGCGGTTGCAGCCTTGCGATCGATAATAGCCAACTATAGAACGATATACTGCCGCCTGATTATCCATTTTTTTCATTTGGCTCCGCATTTTTTTTGTGTTTTTTCATGTTTTCGGCGTTTGTGTGTCGTTGCATATTTTCATGACTTCCCCGTCACCATTCATTGAATGCACATCTGGGGTCTGACAACGCTGACCTTGATCACCATTAGTCGCTGTTTCGATTGTGTTTCCTGTTGTTACAAGTTGCATGTCATACATGGTTATCGAACGAGGAGTTTTATTTTGAATCCTAAGACAAAATTGTAGGTAATGCGAGGCTGTTGTTCAGCCTCATATTGCATGAGGCTGAAACAGCCTTATTATTGCCTGGTTTTAGAGCAGAGTCCCGCCTTTCGAAATTTTTAGATTCATTTCAACGACAGCATTCGGTGTGAACATGCACTGTGTCAGTTAGAAGGAGGGGAAGGTCGTTATCTGGATCATGTTCGAGGGGGGAGCGGGCCGTACGCACACCGCCATTTCGCACATCCCCATGCTGTACCCTGTTTATGGCCATTGTGACTTCGCTCTTTCCAGCTTTTCACCGACTCAAGTAGCTCACCCACCTTGGAGTCCCCTCCCCTTGAAAAATCCCGTGTCCTGGCTCCCCTTACGTTTTTTGCAAGTTTCGATGCTTTGGCACCGCGTACAGCGTACACAGGGTTTCGTAACAGGACCATGCACAAAAATTCAATATGTCACGTAACCCTAGTTTATACTGACGAGTTAAGAATGGCGCTGCTCAGTCAGTGGTATGCTGACTGCACTTTGAACTTAATTTCTCACTCATTTTCAGAAAAGAACACAAGTGCCTGGTCTTGTGTACCCTGAGGCCGCAATCTAGAGTCTCTGACGGTTTCACCAACTCTTTTCCGCCTCGGTAGACCTCCTCAACTTCGTTCTTACCATTAGCAATTATCCACCACACTGATTACGAATACAATATTTACTTTGAGCGGCAAGCCATATTTGTACCAGTGCCGACTTCGGGTCGCGACATTTCTCACCGAATTTGCTGAAAACTCATATACAGAAAAGTACTGGTCCCACAAAATCTGGAAATCCAGAGCCTCCATCTTTTTTTTCTTCTGCTTTCCTTCTATTCTTTCCATCCCTATCTCTTTCCCTTCTCTTATTTTCGTCCCTTCAATACGACGCTTCCATTTTTTGAAAAAAAAGCTGACCAACTAGAAAGCAAAATTTATTTTCAGCGAATCATGTTTTTAGCATGTTTTAGTAGGTGACCCAATAAAGTACAATGTATAATAGAAGTATCGCTCAACAGTAATATATCACAGCTGTTTACAACGAGTCCTTATTAACAGACACGACTAAGAACAATAAAGAAAAATAATGTTAGATTCTATAATGACTTCGTTTTTTCTACCACCGTCAACATATCACAATTTCGGAGCCACACACATTAACCAAAGAGCACCAACTGATGTGAGACACCGTAATGAGTAGCGAATGAATCATTGGGACGTAAAAATCATGGATTTTTGGTAAATTTGAAGATTACTAAGATATAGCGAATTCAGTATTCTAGCTTCCTTTTACACATATCATCGGATAAACAACAAGGTCCTCTTGGTTGTGTCGAAATCAACCTGGAATGGAAAGCGATCCTTATACATGATGTTTGCTTTTTTGCATCGTGCAGAGTTACTGATGCCTACTACTGAGGTAGCACTCAACCAGAATTCAGAAGAAGATCTAGCTAAGCTTACGCAGATAACTCATAGATTAGCACTACATTAACGGATCATTTCCTATCTATTTACTGGGGTGACAGGCCCGCTCCACCACCTTGCTGGTTTGTGTAGTCGTTATCACTACAGCCAGTCTGAAACTGCCAAGGCAACGTGCTTTTTGGCGCGATGCCAGCCCGCTCGGCTATTCGGCTTGGGAGAACATTCTGCGCTTTTGTTACTTCCTATTAAATTACACGTCACACCCTAGTGAGGCTCGTAATCTTGTCATTAGTAAGCAGAGTTCCTGCTATTGCATAGTTTTACAGGAGTTTACAGGTCCCCCACTGGAGACATCGACAGTGCTCGATGGGAGCCAGCATGACCCCCCCCCATCAAGCCGAACTGCGCTCCAAGTTCATCTGCCGAAAGACCTCAGCCATTTCTAATGGGTGATTGTTGTACCTTCTTACGGCTACAAACCAGCAAATCATATGCGCATGAATAGAACAACGAGGAACACACGACGCAGCAGACAGCTCAATTCATCCACTTTCCTATTTGATAATTATAAAAAAATTTGAGTAGTTTGTCTAATTTTCCGAGAAATTCAAACCTTCATCAGATCACATATGGAAGAGACTTCGTCGAAACAAAAGACAGCACTAGTTCGATGTTGAATCCCTTGGATAAATAGCTCAAAATATCGTAGAGTACCGGAATTAGCTGAAAATAGAATTTTCAGCCTACGCCTTCTAGCGGAACGATTCCTTTGCCATCATCGCAAAGATGTTCATATGAGAAAGAACCAGATCTGTTAGTTTATTTACCTGATCCATACTCTGTTTATACAGCAGCTGCTCTTCTTCCATGCCAAACCATGGTGAGACATCATATTCCACTGTTTCAGCGCTCACACCCACACGAATTGATACGCTCCTGGAAAGCAGGTTTATGAACTTTTTCAGAGGATTGGCGCAGGCGCAGTTGGGCAACGAGGGGCGGGTGCATTTTGCACTTTTGCTACTTTTCACTGAAGTATTCTCCAGCTTCTCTCTTGCTGTAACCTCGGCATTGTTGTTAAATTCGTTAGTATTGCTATGCCTCTTGAGGTTTTTAGGTGGAAACTTTATTCAACGGCCTAACGTTTCGACAGGGCCGTCTTCTTCAGAGGCCTAAACGTGTTTCGAGTTAAGGAGATGAAACTACCCCGTCGAGCGAACTCCATAAGGAAATTCTACACAATACAAACAATACGGAAATGTACAACCCACCAGAACTCCACCGTGAATCCGCCGTCACATACGGATGTTAGTCAGTAGTAAATGAGACTTACTCTAGCGTCTCCTTATACGTATAATGTTGAGGAGACGCATGTATCACCGGCTACTATAACTCGCAGTACGGTATAAACGGCGAAAGTTCATTGGTTGTTGACCGACGCTCACCTCGGTTGTTCATCCTAAAATTTCTGCCGGAAATCCATACGCCTCCAGCGCCTTTCTTGTCGAGATTTCCGTCTCCTGCGCCAATATTGTGCACTTAATTTCGAAGTTGTTGCCGTTGTGCTCCTCAGTTCTATGCCTGCCCAGCGCTGTCGTGGACCTACTGCGCCTCATACCAGTGAGGTGTTCGTTAATTGGAACACCTAGCGGTCTTCCTGTCTCTCCATGTATCTCTATATGTGGATCCACATGTCTGAATTTCTATCTGGTAGATCACACCTAATTCTGTGCAATCCCCCAATCTGCCATGTGGACAAATGACGCAATCTCTTCGATATGCGCTGTTGATCGTAGAGCCTGTTTCGAGCTAGTTTCCTGATTGATGTCGCTGTTAGTGATGTTAACTAAATGGACAACATCTTGTAACTGTGCTCTAACAATACTCCACTGTACTGCAGTGCTTATAGTATCGGAGATGAAAGGAAGACATAGCGGCAATCTGTTCAGGCGCGGTTTTTGTCGTATGTTGCTGCACTGGCTACCAGGACGTCGTGGCACCGTATAACCGTTCATAGCGGACTACTCCACGTTTGACGGCTTGTGGATGAGCTAATGTAGAGCTGGAGTAAGACATTCTTTGAACTGGCTTTACGGTACCACTTCACGCTGACAATGTTACTGGATACTTTTACTTGAGTGTTGAGGTAAGGGAGCCAACCGTCACGTGGAGTTTCACATGTGAGTCTTCATTATTCGGAAACACTCGTCCATTTCGGACTGCGTTGACGTTATAATGAAACATCATCGATAGACTACAGTACATTATTGGGCGACGTTCTAACACTGGCTCTTCGATCCTACCTATGAAGCAGACAGCCAGAATCGGTGCTAGTCGATGATCTTTGGCGAGGTCTCGTACTTGCGAGAAGTATGTCCCTGCCCATTTAAAGAGATACACGGAGACAGGAAGACCGCTAGGTTGTTGCGAAAATTAACGAACACTTCACCGGTATGAGGCGCAGTAGGTCCACGACAGCGCTGGGCAGGCATAGAACTGAGGAGCACAACGGCAACAACTTCGAAATTAAGTGCACAATATTGGCGCAGGAGACGGAAAACTCACAAGAAAGGCGGTGGAGGCGTTCTGGATTTCCGGCAGAAATTTTGGGATGAACAACCGAGATGAGCGTCCCCAATGAACTTTCGCCGTTTATACCGTACTGCGAATTATAGTGGCCGGTGATAAGTGCGTCTCCTCAACTTTATACGTATAAGGGACGCTAGAGTAAGTCTCATTTGCTACTGACTAACATCCGCATGTGACGGCGGATTCACGGTGGAGTTCTGGTGAGTGCACATTTCGTATTGTGTAGAATTTCCTTGTAGAGTTCCGAACACGTCATCGGAACTGCTAGGGTTGGTTGGGCGCTTGACGGGGTAGTGTTCATCTCCTTAACTCGAAACACGTTCAGGCCTCTGGAGAAGACGACCTTGTCGAAACGTTAGGCAGCGTTCAGACTTGTAGCGCTACAACTGTAGCGCTACGATCGTCGCGCTACAGCTTGTCGCGCTAGCTGATCGTCGGCGCGTACAGCCGTCGCGCTACAGCTGTATCCAGCTTCCTTTTATATTTTTTCTTTCTGAATTTAACCATCTTCTCTTTGTTTGCCATATTTATCTGATGCTGAGCTCCTGTTTTTTTACTTTACCACATTTTTTATCACATTTTTATATAGTTTTTGATACAGAGCACTATGATAATTGGTTTTATTTTCGTTTCCGACTCTATTTGGTTTTAGGGTTGCTACTGATGTTTGATTTCTTTGCTCGATGTCTTGCATTGGTGCCTCGTGTTGATCCCGATTGCGAAATTGTTTTCATTCCATTATTAAAATGTGGTAAAAAATGCGGTAAAGTAGAAAAGAGCTCAGCATCAGATAAATATGGCAAAAGAGGGTTGAATTCAGAAAGAAAAAATATAAAAGGAATGCTTGATACAGCTGTTGCTCGACGGCTGTAGCGCGACAGTAGCGCGACAGCTGTAGCGCGACGATCGTAGCGCTACAGTTGTAGCGCTACAAGTCTGAACGCTGCCTTAGGCCGTTGAATAAAGTTTCCACCTAAAAACGGAGGCTTAGCAATACTAACAAATTTCGCTGAAGTGTCGAGCTAACAAGCGGAAATCTGTAAACTCTAAGGCAGCGTTCAGACTTGTAGCGCTACATCGTCGCGCTACAGCGTAGAGCTACAGCGCCACGTACTGCTATTTCCAACGTTAGGATGATTAGAGTTGCTTACAGAGAAAAGTGGGAAGGTTGCTGGAGTTTTCTTGAGAAATTCACGGAAAGGTGAGACTGATACAGCTGTAACTAATCTGACCATCCTTGACAGTTACTCCATTAGTCACTATTTTTCTGGTACTGCTTTTAGCGTAACAGTGTCCTTCTGTCCTATTAAGAGCATTTTCTGCAAAAAACACCCAAAGAGTACTCGCGCCACCTAAAACACGCATGCATGTTTTTTTACCGGAGACACAAGAACCATAAAAGGAACTTCTTGTTTGCCTTGTGTTAACGCATTGGTGACCAGACAGTCTTCGCGTGCCTGTTGTGGGAGATAAGGCCATTTTTTTCTGCTGCCGACAAATGCGACTCAATACTGATACGCTCCTAGGCCAAAAAAGTACAAGAAACTGTCAAAGCTTTGTTGGCTGTGAATGCCTCGAAAACCGGCATAAATCTTTTTCCTGTGATCCAGGCAGAGATTGGGGGCAAACTCGAAAAGCAGATTTCGCTCCATAATCGATGAGCGGCATTGGATTCTGTATTCGTTCTTTCTGTATTCAACCTTCTTTTTGTTTCTCATATTTATCTGATAGTGAGCTCCTGTTTTCTACTTTATCACATTTTAATGTAGTTTTTGATACAGAAGACCGTTATAATTGGTTTTATTTACCGTTTTTGACTTTAATTATTTGGTTTCAGAGTTGCTATTGATGTTTGATGGCTTTGCTTGATGCCTTGCAGTGGTGCCTCACGTTGACTCCGATGACGAAATAGTTTTTGGCATCCACGTACAGATGGCAAACCAACACACAGTATTCAGTCGCATTTGTCGGCAGCAGAAAAAAATGGCCTTATCTCCCACAACAGGCACGCGAAGACTGTCTGGTCACCAATGCGTTAACGCAAACAAGAAGTTCCTTTATGGTTCTTGTGTCTCCGGTAAAAAAACATGCGTGCTTGTTTTAGGTGGCGCGAGTACTCTTTGGGTGTTTTTTGCAGAAAATGCTCTTATTAGGACAGAAGGACACTGTTACGCTAAAAGCAGTACCAGAAGAATAGTGACTAATGGAGTAACTGTCAAGGATGGCGTCAGATAGTTACAGCTGTATCAGTCTCACCTTTCCGTGAATTTCTCAAGAAAACTCCAGCAACCTTCCCACTTTTCTCTGTAAGCAACTCTTAATCATCCTAACGTTGGAAATAGCAGTACGTTGCGAAGCGACGCTGTAGCGCGACGCTGTAGCGCTACAAGTCTAAACGCTGCCTAAAGCAATGAAACACCATCAGCCTCACAGTAATCAACAGAGCTTCACCTGAGGGGAGACATGAAAACAGTGTGAAACACAAAAAGTGCAAAATGCTCCCTCCCGCTCTCCCCCTGCGGCGTCACCGAAATGAGCCGAAATTCGCAGAATAGCTCACATAATATTCATGTTGATCAGCATTGCCAGGTACGGTTCGAGCATTTCCAGTACTATTCGCCGTGCTAAACATTTCGGCTGCAATACTGAATATACTCTTTTGAGAATTTCGGAAATCTATTTCATCGATATCCAGTCAAAAAGAATACTACAATTACCTGAACACCTTCGGTTCATCATCAGGGGCTAGGCGACAGTCCTTGAGATTGTAGACATGTGAAAGACGAACACCATAATCAGGAACACTGTTTACTTGGAGAACCGACGTGATTGCTCTTTCCAAAGATAATCCGTACTGGAATTTGTTCTGAAAACGACTGGACTGCAAGTACGGAAAGATTTCCACTATATGTTTTGTGCGCAACGATCTCACCGCAAGATTTTGTCCATCAATGGGAGAGACTGGCCCGAACGGGAATGGCTGACCGGAACCGTCTGTCCACCGAACAATAAATTGAGTGCCAGATGTGTCCGAGGTGATCCAGTTCTTCAACATGATAGCAAATTAACAAAGGGCGGTGACAGTACGTGCTACGAAATCTCACCTCTCCACAACTGAGTGCCTGGAGCAGGTTTTCTAACCTTTCTGATGGGATACGAATAGCAACACCATCTTCCACAACGGAAATCTAAATAGAAGCGATAGCATATGGAATGCTACTTCTGAGCTCTTCATTGCCTACCTGCAGCCCACTTGTTTTTAGCCCACCGTCAATAATTACAAATGAAGCACCGGTAGCTGTAATGACTTGGTTGAGAGCTCCTCGTGAAATTAACAAAAAGCTATTCACCTTTTCTAGAGGATCCCCGAGCCAAAACTTGTGTCGAGTACACACCGTCGGTCTCATCACAGACCAGATGACTGTCAGCCGACAAATTTATGCCAGTTGACCAGGCCAGCATTTTGCTATTGAAGGAGATAATTTCTCCCAGCTGGGAAATTAAAGAAAAATAGGATCTTGAATTTTAAGAAAGAAAAAGAAAAAAGAAAACTTTCTCTACAATATTCCTTAGATTTCACGATATCTTCTCATTTCGCAAGCAATGGCATGCTGCAGGCTCCTATTTCAAGAGAATGTGGCAAGAAGATCGTGATATGTCGCGCTGGTAGGGGAACAGCGATGCAGCGCATGATGGACGAGTTTTATTGCTTGACCACTCGAATGTGAGTGTGGAAGGGATGAGAATTTGAGAGGGCCCGTCATGGAGTCGTGTCGTATGAGTTTCGCTGTTCGAACCGAGAAGTTGGGTCACATTACGAGTTCCCCGCGCATCGTCGCACGGTGCGCAGCGCGCGACGGCGCGTCGAACTGCGGTTATCTTGGCCGTCTCCCATTGATCAGGCTAGATATGCACGCGCAAAGACAAAACTTGGAAAACGATCAGTGCGAACATGATATCGGAAAAGCATTCATGGAAATGCACCCGAGGTGTAGATGAGTCACGAGACAAAAACTTACGTCATCTTTGGCGGACTTTGGAATCTCAACGAGGGTCACATCATTGTTTAGCGTAACAGTGCTTCCTGCAAGATGTTTCATGCGAAAAGACCAGCTCCGGAAGTCTGTGAACACCTTAAGCATTCACATTTAGATTCACACAATATTCACTAGAAACTGATGCACTACTCGTCAGACTAGCCTTCAGAACCGTTTGAGAAGTTTCCGTTGAAAATACTGCTTGTCTTCCAACAACATTAACAATGGGAGTAGGATACCCTGAATTAGATTACGGTGAATCCACAATGAAGTGGTCAGCGTTCGGCTGTTTCATGACTGTAGGACATAAACTGAACCCTTACAGCTGTATTTCAATCCTAGCCGGAAAAGTAAACGATTAGGACACGCCATTGCCCAAGGTACTTCGGCATCGTTGAGAAATAAGGCAACGAGAAATGGTGAGTTTGGTAAATTCAGACTTGAGAAGTCCTGAAAAAGATTAGGAAAGGCATATTAAGCGACCCTGTTCCAAAAAGGCACCTGCAACGATGGACAGAAGAACAGGATATGTCGGGATAGAGGAGGCAAAGCGATCGGTACAGAGTGAATTGGCGGCAAACGGCTGCATACTTGACGTACGCCAGCCTTATCAGCATCACATGATGTTGAAAAGATCTAGAAGCAGGCGCATCGTTGAAAAATGGGAATCTCCCTGGGTCTAGCGTGAGAATTCATCACTGACCTGGGCTATTCGGTGCAACACATTCAAGGGTAAGGAAAAATCGTTGAGGTCGTCTCTCTCCAAACAAAAAGGACTTCAATCCAAACCAATCGTAGCGAAGCCACAGCGAGTGCACACAGCAAAACACTCATTCGAATGACTTGCTAACACAATGTATATATTACGAAGGTCCCGTTTAACATTACAGTTTCACTAATAACATCAAGAAATAACTTTAATGTAAAGGCAGTGAGCACGACAGCTGAAGCGGGCGGTTAGTGCCAACGTCTTTCTTAGAAGGCTGAGTGAGATGTGGCCAATGCCCTTTCGCAGCCCTTCCACGAACAATGTTAGCAGTTTCGCCTACCGCCACCCATCATGCCTACTGCTTTTGGATAGCTAAAAAAGTTGAGGCGATAACAAGGACGTGGGGAGCAGGATGAGCCTTACACCTTGCGAAGAATTAAGATCCAAACGTTCAGAGCCCATTCATACTTCACTGCTCCGCTGCCTCCATCGCGCGATCAACTGCGAAGTATGAACAAATTCTATAAAGACCATACAGGGGAGGCAAAAAAAGACACTTTTCTCCGTCGACTCTGAAGGCGATATAAGTTACATTTTATTGAATTTCGGCCAGACATTTCCACCATCATTCAACCATACTGTACACTATCACGATACTCCGCAAAAGCCTTCTGCACGAGCATTATTGAGAAATTCTGTCGCGCGACCGTGATCCTATGCCTGAGTTCAGCGAGATCCGTGATTTCTCCGCCACTGCAGACCACCCTTTGAGCTCCTCCCCAACCCGGTAATCAATGGGGTTCAATTCAGGTGACACGCTTCGACATTCTGTCCTCCTCAGTACTCAGCGTGCTTCCATTCCAAGTAGACGAGAGTTTCCAACGCATTTCGATTTCAGGTGGTGGCCCCAATCCTGTAGCAGTACGAAGTTTCCAAGATGGCAGGCGGCGACATGAAGGCATGATATTCTCCTCGAGCTGGTCGATGTAACCGTCAGCGCTTACTTTTTGTCCGGGGTCCACGATGAAAATATCAGTTATTCCTATTCCAGGACATCCGGTCCCTACCATCAACCCGCGCCTTGGCGACTGCAGTGAAGATGATATCCTGGACCGTAGCGAGGTTGTTGGAGCGGCTCGATGTTGGAGGTCCCCCAGATCAAGATTGCCGGTCAATAGCTAGGATTGAAAGGCTGTTCAGTTTTCCTAGTTAAGTGTTCCTGGTTTACTGAAGAGGTTCTATAGTTAATGTTTTGTTAGACCCGTAGTAGACCGATTTACAGGGGAGGGGGCAAAAAAAGACACTTCGGCCGAGTCACATATCAGCAAAGTTTTCGCAGCCCAGACAGAAGACGTGGATACGAGTACCAGGGCGGAAGATACCCAAGATGTTCCTCGATAAGCAGGCTCTCGCCCATCACCTTCATGTACACCAAAATATGAAGTCATCTCCAGTCGCAGCCTGACTGGAGAAGACCTTTGGAATTCATGTCACCTCCAAACAGCTGCGAAACTTCTTGTATGGAGTCACCCATGGACAGCTACCTGGAGACCGGCACTCTTGATCTGGAAGACCTCCAACATCGAGCAGCTCCGACAACGTCGCTACGGTCCAGGATATCATCTTCACCGCAGTCGCCAAGGCGCGGGTTGATGGTATGGACCGGACGTACCTGGAATGGAAAGACCGATATTTTCTTCGTGGACCCCGGACTGAAAGTGAGCGCTGACGATTACACTGACCA